TTACCAGTAATCTAAAAAAAAAAAAAAAAAAATCTTAAGGGCACCCAGAGGGAAATTCCATAGAGATGTGGGGAAAGCTTTCCAGGTGGAACAGCAGGAGCAAAGGGAAGGAGGTGAGAATGTGCAGGGAATATGTGAAAGATAAGAAGGGAGCCACTTGAACTGTAGCCTCATGTGTGTGGAGGGGAACTGTGGGAGAAGGTGGTACCCAAATTAAATAGACCTTGTATGCCAAGGAAAGGAGTTTATTCTGTAGTCATTGGGGAGCCACATAAGTTTGAAGTAGGAGAGCTGAATTCTCCCTCTCAGCACTACCCAGATCTTTGAATTTTGTAAAATTATGTTGAATTTTGTCATGCTTTTTCTACATCTATTGAAATGATTATATAATTTTCTTCCTTTATTCTATTACTGTCATGAATTGCATTCATTGGTTTTTGAATGTCAAACCAGCCTTGCATTCCTGGCGTAAATCCACTCAGTCATGATGCATTAGGCTTCTTATATATTATTGAATTCAGTTTGCTCATATTTTGTTAAAGAATTTTGTATTTGTGTTCATGAAGGATATTGGTCTGCAGTTTTCCTATAATAGCTTTGTCTGGTTAATGGTATGAGGGTAAGACTGGCAGTTTTGGTGTCCATGTAACACTGACCTCATAAAATCACTGTGTTAGTGTTCCTTTCTCCTCTATATTCTGAAAGACTTTGTACAGGATGGTATTACTTCTTCCTTAAATGCTTGGCAGAATCTGCCAGTAAAGCCATCTAGGCATGAAGTTTTTAAAAAATGTGTTCTTTTGTTTTATTTCATTTCTGGGGAAAGTTTTAATTGTGAATTCAATTTTCTTAGTAGAAATAGGGCTAATCAGATTTCCTGTTTCTTCCTGAGTCACTTTTGACAATTGGTGTTTTTTAAAGAAATCTGTCCATTTCATCTAAATTGTCAAATTTATTGGTTAAATTGTTCACAACATTCCCTTATTATCCTTTTTTTTTTTTTTTTCCTTATTATCCTTTTAAAGTCCCTAGTCTTAGTGATGATCCTTCTTTCATTCCTGATAGTGGTGATTTGTATTTTCTTCCCTTTTTTCTTGATCAGTCTAATTAGAGGTTATCAATTATATTGACCTTTTGAAATAAACAGTTTCGGGTTTTTTTTTTTTTTTCCTGTTTGTTTTCTATTTCTTTGATTTCCATTTTTTATTATTTTCTTTTTTCATTTAAGTTGGGTGTAACTTGCTTTTTTCTAGCTTCTTAAGGTAGATATTTATTTATTTATTTTATTTTATTTTTTTTTTCCTTTTTGTCTTTTTTCGTGACCAGCAACGGGTCGCAACCCTCAGTGTCGCGCCCGTACCGGACCGGGACTGGCTACGGGATCACAACCCTCGGTGTTGCTCCCACACCTCGCTCAGCCAGTGAACGGCCGGTCTGTATGTGGGATCCGAACCCTCAGCGGGAGCACCGCCGCACTTCCCAAGCGGTGCACTGTAGCAGTGCGCCACTGGGCCGGCCCTTAAGGTAGATATTTAGATGATTGATTTTAAACCTTTTTTACTGATACAAACATTTGAAGCTGTGACTTTCCCTCTAAGCACTGCTTAAGCTGCATTCTACATGTTTTGGTTTGTTGTATTGTAGTTTTCATTTAGTTCAAAATATTTTCTAATATCCCTTGTGATTTCTTCTTTGAACTATGGTTTCTTTAGAAGTATATTGTTTAATTTCTAAATATTTGGAGGTTTTCCAAGTGTCTTTCTGTTACTGATTTCTTTTCTTTTTTTTTTTTTTTGTCTTTTTTCGTGTCCGGCAACGGATCGCAACCCTCAGTGTCGCGCCCGCACTGGACCGGGACCGGCAACGGGATTGCAACCCTCGGCGCTGCACCCGCACCTCGCTCAGCCAGTGAGCGGGAACCGGTCTGTATGTGGGATCCGAACCCTCGTTGGGAGCGCCACCGCACTCCCAAGCGGCGCACTGTAGCAGTGCGCCACCGGGCCAGCCCTCTGTTACTGATTTCTAATTTAATTATTTTGGAGTTGGAGAACAAACACTATAATTTCATTCTTTTAAAGTTTGAGGTTCATTTTATGTTCCAGCATATGGTCTATAGTGGTGAATATCTCATGTACACTTGAAGATATGAGGGACCTTGAGCAGGTCTCTTACTTGCTCTGAACTTGAGGTTCCTTGTCTGTGGGAGGGTATTGCGTTTTGTGGATGAGCAGTATGCAGCAGGAGGGGAGGCTTTGAGACATGGGTAGTTTTTCTGATGCACCCTGTCTCTTGATCTTGCAGATGGCATCTGAGTCAGAGCGACGTCCTCTGGGTGTGTTTGAGTGCCAGCTCTGTGCCTTGACAGCTCCATACAGCTATGTGGGCCAGAAGCCCCCGGATACCCAGTCCGTTGTGTGAGTACATGCTTTTTTGGGCCCACGCTTTCTCATGCCGGAAGCCCCTGCCCAGAGCTGGTTGGTGGTGCCGTGCCTGCATCTGAAAAATGGCTTGGGTGTTGTGGTTTAGGCCTGTCCCTGCCCACTCTCTGGATACTTCAGGTGTAACCTGAGGAGGCCTGGGGTAAAGCTTCAGGGTCATCTGACCCTTCCAGAGTCCCTAAACAGTTTGCTTCATGCTCAGTCCAGAGTTCAGCACTGGCTCCAGCTACGGGGTAGAAGCACTGTGGCCCAGGCTGAAACAGCTCAGAAGCAGGGACCAGAAGGAACCATGGTGCCCTCCTCATTTGGGGATGCACCCTTGTTGCCTTTCCTGCTGGTGACACCTCCAGAGTGGGAAGCCCATCTTCCTTGCAGCTCTTGTGCTGGTGGGAGTGATCAGCTTCCCATGGGTCTGCCCAGAGCAGGCCTGTACCAGAGCCAGTGGGCCCTGGCGCTTGTTTTTTACTTCCAGCTTGTCGTTCATTGAATGCCACATTGTAGAAAAGCTGAGCAATGCGGCACTCATGTGGGACACAGTGGCAGGCTTCTTCCTTCTGGCTGTGGTTCCTCTGCTGCCCAGGAACGTGGCATCATCATGGAGCACTGTTGGGCTCATTGTGATGCACTGCAGAAGGCCAGCCTGCCTCCAGGGGTCATGGGGGTGGGTAAGGTGCTGAGTTCTCCCTGCTTTGAAACAAGCAGCTCGGGGCAGAAGGAAGGGCTTGGGGAGCTCAGATGGAGACATTGTGCCCCCCCCCAGTGAATCAGGCTGGGAACTGGGGGCTCGCACTGCAGCAGCCCTTTTTTCAGCTGTTACAGAGCCGAGAGCAGGTCCAATTTCAATTCCAGCATGGCCCCCAATTTCTTGCCTTTCTGCCACTACTCTGTGGCACAGGTGTACTTGTCCCCTACCTCAGTGAGCCTGTGCAGGTGTGCAGGTCTCATGCTGCATTGCCAGCACCAGGGCTTGTAGCCGAGTTCTGGTCAGCAGGGGTTTGGGCCATCCTGACAGCTGGCATTACTCTCCTGCAGCCTCCTGGAGGAAAGCTATATCATGAAGGATCCCTTCACCTCGGACAAGGGCAGATTCCTGGTCCTCGGCTCAAGATGCAGTTTATGTAGCAGGCTGGTGTGCGTGGGCCCGGTGGGTAAGCAGTGTGGGGCTGGCACAGCCTGCCCTTGATGTGGTGGTCCTAGGAGCCCACCTAGTCACTAGGTAGGGAGGGCCATGAGGGCCCTTAGAGGCCAGCTGGTCTGCTCCATTATAGATGGAGCCCTGCAGCTGACAAAAGGGGAGGAGACCAGGGAGGGGCTCTCAGCCTGGGGTGAGATTCTTGGAGGCTCTGCACCTCCCTGCTGTGGCCCCACATGGTTCCTCCCCTTCCACCAGCAGTGCAGTTGGCTCTTGTGCCCCCTTTCCCCATGGACAGTGATCTTTCTTGATGTTCTTGGAGGGAACTTCCAGAGGAAGGAGCTGTCCTTTCCTGAGCATTTGTTGTGTGCCAGGCCCTGTGCTTGGGACCTGTGTTCCAGGTGAGGCTTCATTCAGTCATTCCCAAAGCTAGTTAGGTAAAGCAGTATTACACCCATTTGATGGATGAGGAAACTGAGGTTTAGAGAGGCTGCATGGCTCAAGTTCCCCTGGGTAGCTGAGCCTACGGTGTGAAAACCCAAGGGTGGATGGAAGTGTAGAAGTGTGGCCTCCAGAGTTAGCCAGTGTAACTGGAGTGATGCTGGAGTCTGAGATGTCCCTGAGCACCTGCCACAGGGTGAAGTGCACACAGAGGTAGCGTTACCACAAGCCATGCTGAACGGTCAGCCCCCATCCCTCCAAAGTCAGGGGATGAGTTGGAATGGGGGTGGGAGGAGCCTCAGCATGGGCAGAGGCTCAGAGGAAGGCAGTGTAGGGGAGCATTTGAGGTGTCCTGTATGCAGCAGCTGGCAGGGCTGGGGCCTCTGGCGGTGGAGAAGAAGCTGGGACATTACGGCTGGAACGGTGGGGTGGGGCTGGTGGTGAGAAGCCTTGAATGCCACACCTTGGATTTGGGCTGCACTTGGTGAGCAGAGGGGAGGGTGCCCCACACAGGTATCAGAAATCCCCAGCTTTCTTTGATTAAATGGTACCTTGTTAGCAAGTAAATCTCTGTGGCAAAGGATCTCTTCTAAGACTCACAGGAAGGACAGCCTTGTATTAGTTGAGGCATAATCTAAGCTGATGGAACAAGGAGACCCACACAATGGAGTGGCCTAAATAAGACAAATGATTATTTACTTATTTTCTTCTACATAAGAGTCCGTAGCAGACAGTCCCTGCCGGAGCAGCACTGCTGCTGCTCTCAACACACAGCACGCGCTGGGCCCATGGTGGCTGTTGCGGCTCCCACTATCGCGTTTCCATCCCAGCCATCAGGAAGGAACAAGGGTGCACCTGCTCGTTCTTTGAAGGGCATGAACAGCAGGTGGCAGACAGCTGCTGCTGATATCCCAACCAGACTTGGCTCCATGGCCATACCCAGTTGCAGAGGGGGCAGGGGAGTGTCATCCTTAGCCAGGTGCCATGTGCCTGGATGAATGTAGCCGGGAGCATAGTGTTAAAGGTTGTGGGGGAGAATGGACATGGCTGGACAATTCTGGCCTCCTGCCTAGACCAGCCACTTGTCCACAGCCTCTTTGGTCTGTGGGTTTGTCCCTCCCATCCCCTGCTGCTCCCAGTACCAGGTGGTCACCAGGCCCCTGTTCCTGCTGTGATAGCTGGGACAGGGAGGACTCTAGGATTTCCCACTTTTTGGGTGTGGCCTGTGCTACAGCTTCCCATCATTGTTGCTTTACCTGTGGTGGAGTAGGGCAGGGTCCCATCCCGGCTGCCCCCCACCACCCGGGTAACCCAGGCTTCATTGTCTCTCACCTGGACGCCCTGCCAGGCCTTTGGGCCCCTGCTCTGCCTCTTGCTGTTCTGGCTACCCTCTGCCCTGTGCATCCTGGGGGACCCTGCCCAGCCATTGCATGTGGTGAAGGGCTGGCCTCTGGGAGAAGCTGCATCGTGTTCCTTCCCCCTGCTTTCAGGAATGCAGTCTATTCTACTCCAAGAGGTTTTGCCTGCCTTGTGTCCAGAAGAACATCAGTGCTTTTCCTCAGGAGATTCGGCAAGACTTGGAGAAAAGGAAGGCTCCACCAAAGAGGCCCTCCAGCCAGCCGGGTTATCGGACATGAGCACAGCTGGTACCAGGTCAGGGGCGGGAGCCTGCATGAAGTTCCCAGGCCAGCCTGGGCCAGGGGTGCCATCAAGCTGGGAGCCACCATGCACAGCCTTGTTTCTGCACCATCGGGAGCAGCATCTGCAGCCCTAGGAGCTGGGGTCCAGCTTGCAGCAGCAACAGGGTCTGGGGAGCAATGCTGTAAGCACTCCAAAAGGCAGATGCCAGAGCAGACATACAGTGAGGTTGGCCCGGGAGCTCCAGAGCCCCCTCAGGGCTGCGACCAAGTGAGAGGAAGCCCTCCTCCAGTGGACAGCTCACTAGGAGGCCACCATGGAAGCATGGGTATGCTGGGGCTGCAGAGCACAGGACCCAGACTGGCAAGTGTGTAGGGGGAATGGAGGGGGATAGAATTTGTATGTTGCATCCTTGTGTGATGCTTACAAAATGTTGCTTTAAATCTTGACCATGTATCATGTTTGTAATCAAAAAGCCAAAGAACCAGCCAGTGTTTGAAAAGTAATCTTTCCACTGGGACACTTGGAGACCTGGCAGTGGTTGGGGTCTCCTGGGAGCTGAGCACCACTTCCTGCCTTTTCAGTTCCTCAGGCTCAGCTCCAGCTCAGGCCAGTCCTGAGCTGTCTCCCTGCCCCCCAGTCAGGAATGCCACCATTATGTTGCTGGCCTGCCCTCCCCCCGCCCCCAGGAGCTGCTGCCCTCTGCACTGATCCATGAGCTTGCCGCCAAGTGTCTGCCTAGCATTCTTAGAAGCAGGGACTGCTCTGTCTTTGTAATTACTGCAAGGCCAACTGTCGTGTTTCATGAAAGAGTGAATAAAGAGAAATTCTGACGGATGTGTGTGTTGGATTTTAAGATGTTCACACTTTTAAAGCTTCCCTGTTTCATGTTACTTTGAATGAATGGGTGTCATATTCTGGGGCCACATTGTCCCAGATCCATTCTGTACACTGAAGGGTAAAAAGGGACTCTGTGCAGGTGAGGGTATCCTCAGGTGAGTGGGGTGCCGGGGACTGTTCCAGCAGAGAACAGATCCTACAGCTGGGGATTTGGTTTTTTTCAAACCAGATTGTTCATTTCACAGCATCATTCAAAACTCCCCAGATAACTTTAAAAAATAGTTTATTATTTTTTAAAACCATTAAGGCAAAACTGTACCCTGAAATTAACTCTTTACATTCATCAGTCTTACATAGGACATTCCAAACATAAATTCTCATAAATTCAGGATATAAATCAATACATGTGGTCAGTTCAGTCTCCTAACAGGAAAATGAAGACCCCCCTCAAGATTTTTTAAAAATTAAGGTTATTTTATAGACATTCTCTAATCTGGACCAATCAGTTAATGTGACTAGAAATATTATATTTGTCCTTCCCTGCACCCTTGATTCCTGAGGTCCTGGATACCCCCCACACCCGCAGAGAGGTATGAAGTTGAAGAGAGGACGCCGGAGCCCGCTCAACAGTTCCTCCTTTGGAACTGCTCCTGTTTCACATAAAAAACCAAAGGTCTGTAAGCCCCTAAATACTTTGAGAGTATAAGGCACCCAAGAAAAGTAATCACGAGCACACATCGGAAAACTGAGCTCAGTCCTGGCTTTGGAAACCTGCGTGTGTCTGTCAAACCCTCTCCCCTAGGGTTTAGCATGATGGCACTGTGGGTCCCAGGGGGAGTAACAAATATGCACCAAGAAGAAATTCTGTCAAGATGATGAAAACAATGTATGGGACACAAGGGGTCTGTGCTTTCTGTTATATGCTTTGGGTTGGTTCATCAAGAGGATGTCAGAGAAACAGCATGTGCAAATAATTTGTCAGAATATTTGAGGTTGCCAAAGTTCTTTGGTAATAACCCACAGGTAATAATCCCCTGAAGAGCAGACAGCTATTTCCTAAACAGGAGTAGTTAATGACCTAGCAAAATACTGTTGTATGAAATCAGTGACCTCTGACCTGGGGTCTAAGTGGCCTTGCTGGTAGAAATGGATAAAGACAGACACACTTGCACTTGTTGCACGTGAAGTAGGGCGAAGGGAGCAGATTTATAGACCAAAAATAAATTCTGCTTTGCTCAGGGGAGATGAGAAGCTGGGGGAGGGTGTGCACGCTCGTGTGCAGTTGTGTCCCAGCTGTTTTACTTCGGCTTCCTTTGTATTTCCAACGGTTCAAGAGCCAGGCTTTTAAGAGTATACACCAATTAACACTGATTTCAAAAGAATTCAAGTGTTTGTCATTAGATGCATGATTGTAAGTTAGTAAAATATTTGTATTAGGATTTTTTTTTTTTTTTTTAAAAGATGACCGGTAAGGGGATCTTAACCCTCGACTTGGTGTTGTCAGCACCACGCTCAGCCAGTGAGCAAACCGGCCATCCCTATATGGGATCTGAACCCGGGGCCTCGGTGTTATCAGCACCACACTCTCCCGAGTGAGCCACGAGCCGGCCCTGTATTAGGATGTTTTTTAAAAAACTCAAATCACAGTATTTAAGATACAGCTATCAACGTAGTTGTTTTTACCATATGGTGTAGAAAAAACGGTGATACTCAACACTAATATTGTATTCTTACCAAAAAGGGTATTAAGTGGTATTCATCTTTTGTGAGGTACATTTCTTTTTAGGCTTGAAAAAGGAACTGACTGTGCCTTTAAAAAAAGTGAATTTTCCAAAACCAAGTGATTTTACCATGAAAAGATCAGCCACTCACTTGTCTTCAGGAACTGAAGCCTGATCTGACCCGACTCTAGGCAGAGTTGAGGCTTGAGGGTCTGGGAGAGAGGCCGGGAAATCCGGGCCTGGTGTCCACATCCTGCCTCACGGCTCAGGGCTCACGGGCCGGCTTGTGTGGTGGAGAAGAGGAGCAAGGGAGGAGGCGGCCAGCACATTCCCTTCTCTGCAGGAAAACATTTTTCACATTTGACTCAAACTAGCAAACTTTTAAAATAATAATGGAAACTAACCCGGGTCTTAATTTGCTGTCTGCAAGGTAAAAATCAATGTTGCTTTTCTTTTTCTTTTGCAAATAATGCATCTAACAGCCGTGGGGCTACCAAAGTACTTGATGGTCTCAGTTGCTTCGGTCAAGACATGACACTGAACGTGGACTCAGTCTTGCCTGTTCTCGTTGGCAAAGGACTCCAAAAGGAGGTGGCTGTATTTCAGCTAAACCACATTATATAGCCCCTCTTCCCTTACAAAAAGGGGTCTTGGGGGAGAAAAATAACCAATTGTATTTCTCATGTCTCAAACGGAAAATCTGAGAAGCAAATGGTCAGTCAATAGCCCCACTCCAGATCTGAGACGATGTCCTCAGGTGCATGCAGCTGCTAAAGGCAGCATGTGAAGCAGCCCTGGCCTCTCTCTGCTCTCCTAATAAGTGAGGCCACACACGTGGCTTTTTTTTTTGAAGGCTGCAGTCCACTCCACAGAGATAGTTTAAGAACCTACTGCATTCCACAAAAGTAGCATAATGGAAAGCACTGTGTAATTACGTAAACTAAAGAATGAAACTCGTCTTTTTTTTGTTTTTTTACAAAACTTCCAATTTCACATTTTAGTATGTATTGTGGTTTCCAGAGAAATATAACGGATCTCCTATATTCGGAGTCAGAATAAATTCATTGCCCTTATTCTTATCCTGTTTTACAGGCTGGGGGCCAATTACCATTTTTCTGAATTCTATTAAAATAGCACCTAAAAAAATACATTAGTGCCAGCAACAACCTAGACCTTCGGAGCCTCATCTTACATCTTTCTAGGCAGAAGGTCTCTCAGAGGAGTACATGCCCTGGGTGAAGGAAAGGAACTTGCGAGGCCACTTGATGATTTAACAACATAAAGGAATCCCTTGGCAAGATGTCCCTTGGTTGCCGCCAGCACAGTTGAGGCACATTCATCAGCATTTGTCACAAGCCTTCATTTGCTCCTCAAAGTTATAGCACAGCTGAGCTGTCCTTAGAGACTCTCTGCAGCAGAAATTTGTGGACATTTCATCTCCAGACCAACATGTCTGAAGATGGGCTTGAGTGACCGCTCCCACCAGCGCTGTGGTGAGGAGGGCAAACACCATCCCCAGAACCAACAGCTCAGTGCAAAGATCTGGTTGGCAAGAAATTCCAGTGCAACTGCACAAGTCAGCTTGGACCAGGAGTTAACAGAAGCTGGGCTGCTTTTAAAATGAGAAGAATAGATACTGCCCGTGCTTGGCAGTGCCAATGCTGTCAAAATGATGCACTGAGACAGATCTGTGGACATTTGTTAATAATCAGTAAGCCCTCAAGTGGTGGCATCGACTTGGTTTGTAAATTGTACAGACAGTGAACGTCCTTGCCTCTCCTGAAGCTACGCCACTGTTCTGAACTTAAAAGAAAGACTTTTAAAAAGTAATCCCTTAAGAGAACCTGCATCAGGCAGATGACAGGCTTGCCATCCGGCCAGCCACCAGCATGTGTGCTGAGAAAAGGGCCACAGGTGTCTCAGTCAGTGTCAAGTTCGTCATCTGGCCTCATGCCTGCTGGCTGTGACTGCAAGAGCAGGGACGCAGCAGGGGGTGGAGAAAGTGCGCCACGCCTGGGCCCCAGACCTGCCGTGCCAGCCCTGCACCCCGAGGCCAGGCGTTTCCATCTTGAAATGGGGACTGGTTCCCCATCTGCCCCCTTGGCCTGCTTTGGAGGCTGTAAAGAACCACGATGTACAAAGGTGGTGGCTGTAGGCATTGACACGTTTTGCTAGTGGAATCCAAATTTTGAAAGGCCACCCAGGTCGAAGAGGTACTCTGAGGGTGGCTAGCTTCCCCTGGGCACTGGAATCCCCTCCAAAGGCCATGGCGGTGGTCAAGGCAGTCTTAGCTGGGAGTGGTTGACTCATTGATTGAAGTCATGATGAACCCGTATTTAAATGGGAGCTGAAGAAGAGATTCTGAAGACAGGCGTGGCCACTGTGTCGTGACTGCGTGGAGACAGAACCCCCTCCAGCAGCATCTGGCTGTAAGCATCAAACGCTCAGGTGTCACAGTGGTTTCAGAGGGGGCTCGAGGCAGGAAGTGCTTGGATTCAGACACAGAGGGCATGGTGTGAGCCAGAAGACCTTAGCAAGTCACGGTTTTACGAAGGCTGGCTGTGAGGCATCTGTTTCCATCTCATCTGGCAGTACGTCTCCTATGAACAGGGCTCATAAATGGCAGCAGGAGGGAAGGGGAGGCCCCCGACAGGCGGGTCACTGCAGGCTGCACGGGGGGCCACCTCTCCTAACCCCAGGTCACACTTGAGCTCAGCTTCACTAAATCGGGGCAGCAACTTTTGCCCTGCCTATTTTTAAGGCTCCCTTTAAACAATGAAAGATCCTGTGAGAAGTCATGTAACTTGCCATTCCTGCGTGTGCAGGCAACCGAAGGTGTGTGCATGCTCAGGGAGTCCTAACCACCGGCCGGCAGGAGGCATCAGAGGGCCCGTGCTCTGTGTACCTTAACGTTAACAGTGCCTCTGCAGGGCCTAGAGAGGTAGCTGTGACGCCATACATTTGGGGGGAAGTAAGGGCTGAATTAACAGTTTACTCATCATCAGATATTTCACTTGTGCTTTGAGCTGCTTGTACTACACTCTTGGGATGCTGTGCTGTCCCTGGGACCTCCAGACGATGTTTGAGGTGGTTTGTTTCCTTTGGGGCTTTAAATGGCCCAGGGTAAGAAATGCATCAGAGAAAGCAGAAAGTCACCTTCTACGCTCTTAAAATGAAAAGAATCTCTTTAGAACAGGGATAGCTCTTGCAGGCATTCTTGAGTGCACTGAGTCCCGGGTTCTTTTCCATCCTGCTTCTCATTAGTTATACATGAATAGGCATCCAGACACTTTAGAAGATGCTGTGAACTCATCAGAGAGCTGTGGGAAGGTCAATGGGAAACTAGAACAGCTCACAAGCTAGTGCTCTATGTAACCATGCTGCTCCCGAGTCCCACTCTCGCTGATGTCACCGCAAGCATCCTGTTTTGACAGTTCTGCACTTCATCCACACGGCCTTGTGCCTGTGTAGCCCTCAGGTTCCTCAAAGTGTGGGGGTCATAGAACTCAGCATGTGGGACACCTGGCTGGAATGGCCAGGAGGTGGAAGAGGAGGGATGCACTGTAAGGCTCACGGTGGCTGGCGGAGGGGACGGTGTCTGATCCCAGACCCGCAGTGCAGCGGCTGGCGTCTGTCTGTGAGAGGCACGTGGTTGTTGCTTCATTCTAGTCAGTGTGGAACACCAAGGCCTTTTGGTAATTCTGTGCTCTCTGAGGAGTTTGGCACTTTTTTTGCTATTAAAAGTTGAGAAAATGAAGAATCAGTTTTCGTCAATGACTTGTTGAAAAGTGGGTTAAGCTGCTGATTTTCTTCGTTCACTGGCAGAGGAAATGTGGGCTCTACACACATGGTCTGAAACTCCTTGATCCTGTTATGATGTCTCCATTGTGCCTTTTGCTGATGTCTACTGAATAAAGCCAGCAATAAATGAACTCTGTCAATAGTTCCTGTTGAGATGCTACAGTATTTGGGACTAGTGCATAATCAGCCTATCCTGGACTATCCATGCCCTAGAAACCTTTGATGAGGTGACCCAAAATATTTTAGCAGAGTGGCAATGAGTGACTTTGTTATTTAAATAAACGGGAACATGTAATTCTCCTTCCTGGTAATGAAAGCAAACAACGTTGAGTGACTTTCAAGCTGAGGTCACTTGGGGTCTCTTTTCTGACTTCATCGGGACATCAACAGTGGTCTGGCTAGGCCCAAAGAGAACCAAACGCTCATGAACGCTGCGTGAGCTAACACAGAACCTGTCAGTCAGCGTGTCTGTTACTGCTGAAAGCTTGAAATAAGGAGCTATTTGAAATAGGTCCTATGAAAATTTAAACAGAATGAATGACATCTCTGGAAACCTGGATCTCATGGCCAAGTCCATTTGGATAGCGTTTGTCTAGGGCACCTCAGAGTGGGAGGATATGTGGTCAGTGGGGCAATGCAGACTTGGCCTTGGAATCTAGCCTCTGACCCCAAGACCTTGGACAAGCTCAGTCCTCGAGTGTCACCGGTGCAGGGAGCTCTCATGTTAGGAAAGAATAATGAAATGGATGTGCCATGTCACTCAAAGGCTAGCTTCCTTCTGAATTAGGATAACGTCTTGATTGGTGTCATATATGGAAATATTTTTATTTGCTTTTGATTCCTAAGACACTTGGGTGGATGGCCTGGTGCTGCAGCTGACAGATCCTTTGATTGGATCTTTAAAAAAATCACTAAATGTGTAATGTTTAAAAAAGGATGTCCTAATCCTAACTTTTACCTTTTTCTAGTTGAAGTCTCAGTTTTATTGTCCTTTGTACTATTGTGTTTTCATAATGCTAATGTTGGGAACTTTACCAGTATCAATCCTAATCATTCTTTATTTTATTTATTTATTTATTTATTTGTCTTTTTGTCTTTTTCCGTGTCCGGCAATGGATCGCAACCCTCAGTGTTGCCCCCGTACCGGACCGGGGACCGGCAACGGGATCGCAACCCTCGGTGCTGCTCCCGCGCCTCGCTCAGCCAGTGAGCGGGAACCGGTCTGTATGTGGGATCCGAACCCTCGGGCGGGAGCGCCGCCGCGCTTCCCAAGCGGCACACTATCCAGTGCGCCACCGGGCCGGCCCCTAATCATTCTTTAACAACAAATAATAACTATCTCAGAAGAGCCAAATTTTCTGAAGATAGAGGGGGAAAAACATCAAAATCAACCAGATGGTAAAGCTGTTGACCAGGTGTCTGGTGACCCCCAGGGAGGCAACGGCTCCAGCAGGCTCAGTCCAGCTCTGGCTGGGGGGACGGCCGATTCCTCTGTGGGACGATTTATCTACCAGGTAGATAGAAAGAGAAAGTATTTCCAGGTCCATATGTTCTAGGCCAATAACCATAACCAACACTGCTATCCCAACTGGACTAAGGTTGAGAAGTTGATATTCAAGGCTAAAGCAAATATTTTAGATGTTGGAAAACCACCTTACATTTTTAGTGGGAAAAGGACAAATCTTTGTAAAATAAAAAACAAAAAACAACTACTGTGAAATCTGAGACTAAGTGAAACTGCCACCTGAAGGACATGGCCCTTCCCTCATGCTCTAGAATGACCAGCAGCCCAGCCCAGGCTGTAAAGTCACATCTGCTTCCCTTCAGTTCAGGGGGCACCTGCTACCACCAAGAGTTAAAAAAAATAAAGTATCGTATTCTTACAAGCAACACAGGAAAAGGTAGAGGAGCTGCCAAATGGGGCCCGGAGCAACATTTACAAATGACTTTGTCAGTTTGTCCCTAAAAATACTACCATGCCCACAAACAGCCTGAATGAGTGGGTTCAGACTGGACAGAAACAGAGGCGAGGGGAACGGGAAGGATGCCTGCTTGCGAGGTCGTCTGCTCCCTGCCTGCCGCAGGCGCTAGCTTAACACAGTCCAGAGGGGTCCTGAGACGCGGTTCTCTGGAATCTTCCACACAAACCTGGAAACAGGCTTTTCCACACATCAGTGACAAAACAGCTGTGTTTCAATAGCTTATCAAATTGTTCTTTAAAATTCTCAATCCTGTGATTAAAAAGCAGCACGTTGTCTTTCTTCAGATTTGGGAAACAGAATGAAATTCTTCCAAATAAATATTTTGCTGCTTTTTAAATACCTAACCTTTGGATACATCTAGATTTATAGGATTATAAAAGTTGTTTAAAAGTGCTGATTAGTTTCAAAATTATAAAGGAGCACATAAATCAAAAGGGTGGTGAAAAGGGAAGACAGCCCATGTATTCTGGGGTCACCAGCTAATTTAACGGTAAGTTAGTAATGCGATGTAAAGACATGTGCATTGATTAACACTGGGTTGAGTTAAAATCAGACTGTTGAACATCATTCTCCTTAATTTTCCACGTCCTGCTGAGCTGCTATCACCAGCATCTGAGAGCTATGCACACTCCTGGAAGTACTGGTTACAGTAAAGAAAATGTGGAATAGTATTCCGGTTACCCAGAGCTTAGACTTTCCAATCTCTAAGGTTAAAATGGTGGTGGGTATTTGTGCAAAATCGTGCTGCTCCTGTTTCTCCTTTGTAGTGCTGTCGACATTAAAAATCCTTGACACGTTGTGCTTTTCGTTAATGTCAGAGAAATCAGTACATGTCCCTGTAGATCTCTTGCAGCAGCGGGTGCAGAGCCGCATCCGACTCCGTCTTTTTGATGATCTGCACCAGCTGCGCATGCTCTGTGACCAGCTGCCGTAGGTCTGCCATTTTTTGGAGGAGTTTTGGGAACAGAAAGGTATCATCGGGATGATTGCTCTGCAGGTGAAGTTTGAGCACATGCACGATGCCCTCCTGCATTTTTTCAATGTGTCCTACGTTTAGAAGGCCAGGACGATCTGTTCTCAAAAGAAGAAAGAGATGCTTGAATGTGATGATCTCCTTTTTTTTTTTTTTTTTTAAAGATGACCGGTAAGGGGATCTCAACCCTTGGCTTGGTGTTGTCAGCACCACGCTCAGTCAGTGAGCAAACTGGCCATCCCTATATAGGATCCGAACCCGCGGCCTTGGTGTTATCAGCACCGCACTCTACCGAGTGAGCCACGGGCCGGCCCAAATGTGATGATCTCCTAATAACCGTTTACCCGTTTGAGGAACCACACGTTCCTGTTTGATGTGACCTTTCTTAGAAAAAGTTGAGCTGCCTTTAGATATTGTCAACTTCACAAGAAGACAGAAATAAATATTTTTCTTTTTTTTTTTTGTCTTTTTTCGTGACCGGTAACGGGATCGCAACCCTTGGTGTCGCGCCCGCACCGCGCTCAACCAGTGTGCAGACCGGTCTCTATATGGGATCCAAACCCGCGGCTGGAGCGCCGCAGCGCTCCCAAGCGCTGCACTCTACCGAGTGCGCCACCGGGCCGGCCCGGAAATAAATTTTTTTCAAAGTCTAGGCCTAATAGGAACAGACAGGACTAATACTCAACGGCTGGAGCGCCGCAGCGCTCCCAAGCGCTGCACTCTACCGAGTGCGCCACCGGGCTGGCCCGGAAATAAATTTTTTTCAAAGTCTAGGCCTAATAGGAACAGACAGGACTAATACTCATTCCTAAGTGTTCACACTAATGGGCCAAGTACCACCTTAAACCAACTTTACAGTGTGGCCCCTCATTTTGGGTTTGCTTGATTACCTCCTGTCAGGGAAAAAAAAAACCCAAAACATTAGGAGTAACTGTACATTCTGATGATTACAACAACCGATTTTGCATTATATGGGAAATAAAGTTCTTCTTCTCAAGTGAAAACTAGAGGGCCAAGCCCGTGGTGCACTCGGGGGAGTGCGGTGCTGGGAGCGCAGTGACGCTCCCGCCGCGGGTTCGGATCCTATATGGGGATGACCGGTGTGCTCACAGCGCTCACTGGCTGAGCACGGTGCGGCCAGTCTCAAAAAGGACAAAAACAAAGAAACTAGATATTCGGCTTCAAGTTCTCTACCACTATTTAAGGAATGTGACTCTGTTAGACTTAGGTTTTGCGGTATAAAGCCCTGTTACAGGAACCTTCTAATATGAATTAGGTGAAAAGAAAGTAGAGTGAGAAATTAATGGGATACTGGCTGGGAAGGATCCTGAGGAGACCCTGGAGGATGGAGGATGGGGCAGGTCTGAGACGCAGCGCAGGAAGTGCCAACGTTCAGGACAGGTGACCTCCCTGCAGTAGCTCCACCACCAACACCAGACGTTCCGGACAGTCTCAGACCCAGGGTCCAGACTCTTAGTCCAGAAAATACTGGCCCAATCCATATCCAATAGGCAGTGCTCTCTTTAAAGCCCCATTCATTACTATGATTTTCAAAAGTGTTGCTAATGATGTGGATTTTTAATCTTCATTGTGTCTTGATTGCAAAATAAATATAATTATTGAGTTCTGAAGCAGAGAAGATTTTGAAAAGATAGAAAGAACCCCTCATAATGTTAACCCCAGCATGACAGGTTTAATGCACATCTCACCAGACGTTTTTCTGTACATATAGGGTTGATGTAGGATTATAATCTCCTTTCCGATACCGTGACTGTGCTACATGTAAGTAGTTCTGCAACTGCTTTTTACCCACAGTGCTACGTCGTGGTCGTACAAAAGGACAGTGATAATTATGTGTAACTGCTTTGCCTTTTATACTTTATGCCAGAGCAAAGGACTTCTTCCATCTGGCCAGTGCCCGGCCAGACACACACCTCCAAGGGCTGGACTGCCCTCGCCTAGCTCCACTTGTGGAGTCCAGGCGGTGTGGTCAGCCTCAATTCTAAGAGTGAGTAAATCTCAGGGGACAGCACAGCTTCTGGCAGTTTGGGGGGGACAGTCACCCCACTGGTCTCTGCCAAGACTGGCTAAGGTCAGCTGAGTATGCAGTAGGGGAATGACCTTCCTAGACCTGGGACAGGGCTATTTAAAGGAACGGGACACCAAGCCAAAAATCTGGGGGCTGCAGAGAGGCCCAGATTTTCCTTCACTGGGATCTGTTTCCTCTGGCAAAGCAAACATTGCAATTGCTGCCAATAGCTAACATTGCAATATTAGCTACTAATATTTTTCATTATAAAATAGCATAAATATTACCAATAGTGACAGCAACAATACTAACATCTCTGTGGCACTCTACAGAATATGGATGTAATAAAATAATATTTTATAATGATATATAAGAATATCATAATATAACTACATTGTTATAGATTATATTATTATAATTTTATCCAATATAATTTATAAGAAATGGAGTATATTTATATAATTATATGTATATAATATACAAATAGGTATTAACATATAATATATACCATACTATTATAATGATATAATTCCCACTTAATTCTACACAGCAGCAACTCAAAGCTCGGCTGTCTTCCCACCCTGCCAGTGCCAACTCCACTGTAACACAGCTCAGGCCAGTATCAGATTTACTGTTGTCAAATTCTTCAGGGTAGCAGCCTGCAAGTGACATGGCACCAGCAGATTAAATCCAGCACTTACCTCCACAGCAAATTATAGCAGCCACAAAAAGGGAAATGTCACTGTCATCCAGTTCCAGTGCATTGAACTTCATGGCAAAATCAAACTTAGGTTCCATGATATCACAAAATGGTTTTCTTAGGCTTTTTAGGAATTCACGCGTTATAAAACCATTTCCATATGCCACCAGCATCCCATCTTTGTTCATCACAGAGGACAGCATTGCAAATATGGCCTCATAAACTCCATATTTCAGCAAAGTTACTTGATCGTTCAAGTCCAAGTTTGCGAAACCTGGGATGGCCTTGGCGAACTCCGTGAGCTCTGTGACGGTCTCTACTGACGTGCACTGGCAGCAGTGGAAGATGCGGACCTCTGCCTCTTTGTTTTGGATGCCATTGGCCACCAGCTTGGCCACCAGTGTCTTCTCAGCCATACACAATGTCTCCATGTCATGTATGACAAAAGGCTACAAAGAAAGATACTGAAATAAGTCAGGTAATTTGTGACAAGCTATACTCTTAATTATCAATAAACTAATGAGCAGCTATTGTATCCAAATCACCAAGCTCGGTGCTATGGAGAATTCAAAATACATATGAAACACAGTCCTCATCCTTAGACAACTTCAAAATTAGTTGGGGAAAATAAGACATTAATAGAGAACTAACAACATAAATTAGAAAGAAGAATAATTGTCATTGCCTAACATCTGTAGGGATTTCATTGCTAAGAAACTAAAGTCCTGATTTTGACAAAAAAGCTAACAGAATATTAGCAAAGCACCTTTAATATTTAATAATATTCTCTGAACTCTTAAATACTATTACAACAGCCTTAATAACAATAATTCTTAATATTACCTTTATATGAACTTTAGAGATAACCACTATTATTTAACACTGACTATGAATGAATAAATCTGGTGGGTAAATATATACCATTCAGAAAGTTGTCATTTGTGTAGAAATAAGCAGACAAGCACTGTTAAACACTTTAGGGAAAAAGTGGAAAATCCTAGGGGTGCCCTTGTTTCTCTCTGTTCATAAGACTGAAATGTTCACATCAGCGCTCCATGTTCTGGAGAAAGTGCCCAATCCCTGACAATGCTCCTGGGCCTGTTTCTGGGCTCCCTAGAGCACTTCACAGTGCAAAACCATTTTCAGGGCATCTGCAGGGAGTGTCTGGTGCAGAGGTAAGGTGGGCATGTTGGGAACAGTCAGACTGATTGTCTTTGAAATGCTTAAACAGAACTAGAACTTGCAACATAGTGCTGGACAAGAAAAATCTGACTCCACATCTGAGGAAAGAGGATGTTTAAAAAATTACCAGTGAAGTGACTGCCTCACCCCTCTGCCTCAGACCCAGGCAGGTGGGGAGCTCCAGACCCTGCCCCCACACCCTGAACTGACACATGCAGGTGAGCCCACCTGAGGCGGCTGGCAGCAACACCAGCCAGTGGAACCATGCAGCTCCACGCAGCCCCTCATCCTGCCCCAGACCCAGGGCGAGCACCAGCTTATGGTTCTGACCCACCGAGTTTGGCCCAGCAGAACTCCAAGCACTAGGGGCTCATTCTACAACCACAGAGTCTAGAATGGGAACCAAGGTGGTTTAACATAACCACACCTACTGTCAAGCAAAGACAACTCACCCCCGACAGTAGCAACCAAGGCCACTCCACAGCCAACCTCAGAGTAACAGAAGAAGCAAACACCCTACCAAATGACCAAGCATCAGCGAAAAAACACTAGAAGCACAAACAATCAAGAAGAAATGACACCACTGAAAGGATATAGTAATGCCCCAAAGTCAGACTCCATGGAACAGGGAATCCTTGAAATGTCTGAAAAAGAATTTCGAGCAATGATCTTAAGAAAACTTGAAGAAATAAAGGAAGACTCAATTAGAGAACACAATGAAACAAGAAAAAACATCCCAGAATATGAAGGAGGAAATCTACAAAGAGATTAATACCATAAAAAAGAGTGTAGCAGAACTTCTAGAAATGACTCACTCAATGAAATAAAAAACACAACTGATGGGCCGAGCCTGTGGCACACTCGGGAGAGTGCAGTGCTGGGAGCTCTGCCGCAGGTTCGGATCCTATATAGGGATGGCTGCTGGTGCGCTCACTGGCTGACAAAAAAGACAAAAACAAAAAAACAAACAAACAAAAAACCACGACTGAGAGCTTGAGCAGCAGGGTAGAGCAAGCAAAAGAAAGAATTTCAGAGCTTGAAGATTGTCTTTTTGAAATAAGTCAGGCAGACAAAAAAGAAAAAAAGAATTAAAAACAATGAGGAAAACCTATGAGAAATAGCAGACAACCTCAAGCATTCTAACATGAGAATTGTGGATATTCCTGAAGGGCAGGAGAAAGGAAAAGGTATCAAAAATCTACTCAAGGAAGTAATAACAGAAAACTTCCCAGGTGTAGGGCGAGATACAGACCTTCAGATCCAGGAAGCTCAAAGGTCCCCAAACAGATTCAACACAAAAAGATCCTCCCCAAGACATATTATAGTTAAATTTGCAAAGCTCAAAGACAAAGAGAGAATTCTACAGACAGCAAGAGAAAAGCATCAGGTCACTTATAGGG